TTAAGGGGTAGGCTGGGTTCCCAAGAATAACTATTGGCATTTCAACATCCCCAACGATTATTTTCTGGTCCCGAAAGTAAGTCCCTTGCTGCAGCCCTTTAAACAGAACAGTGTTCTTGAAGACGTGAGCATCATGAACCCTTCCCGGCCAGCCCACGTTGATGTTGGTGAAACGTCCCTTGTGATCCACAAGTGCTTGCAGCACCATTGAAAAGTACCCCTTGCGGTTTATGTACTGGGTACGCTGGTGCTCCGGTGCCAAGATAGGGATATGGGTTCCATCTATCGCCCCACCACAATTAGGGAATCCCATTGCAGCAAAGCCATCCACTATGACCTGCACATTTCCCAGAGTCACTACCTTTCGTAGCAGCACCTGAGTGATTGCTCTGGCTACTTGCATCATAGCAGCCCCCACAGTAGATTTGCCCACTCCAAATTGATTCCCGACTGACCGGTAGCTGTCTGGCGTTGCAAGCTTCCACAGGGCTATCGCCACTCGCTTCTCAACTGTAAGGGCTGCTCTCATCTTGGTATTCTGGCGTTTCAGGGCAGGGGACAGCAAGTCACAAAGTTCCATGAAAGTGCCCTTACGCATGTGAAAGTTCCGCAGCCACTGGGAATCGTCCCACACCTGAAACACTATGCGGTCCCACCAGTCTGTGCTTGTTTCCCTTGCCCAGAATTGGCATTCCATGGATAGAACCTGCCCCATTAACAACATGATCTCCAAAGCACTGGGGCTCGTGGTTTGACAGAATTCTGTGTCCATGTCCATGTCCATATCACACTTGTCGCTGCGCTGCCGCCGCCGCCGCCTCCTCGCCTCGTTTTTCTGGTCCTGGCTCGCATAAACTCCACGAGAACGTGCGAGGTGTTTACAATGTTCATGACTGCTGTCTTGAGCTGAGCGGGCTCCATGCTTGCCGTGGTATGGAGTCTGCAGTGTTCACCCAGGAAAAAAGGCGCGAAATGGTTGTCTGCCGTCCGTTGCTTTCACGCAGAAAGGGAGGGGTGAGGCTGTACCCAGAACCACCTGCGACAATGTTTTTTGTCCCATCAGGCACTGGGATCTCAACCCAGAATTCCAGTGGGCGGGGGAGACTGCGGGAACTATGGGATAGCTACCCACAGTGCAACGCTCCAGAAATTGACGCTAGCCCCGGAACATGGACGCACACCGCCGAATTAATGTGCTTAGTGCGGCCGCATACATTCGACTTTATACAATCTGTTTCCCAAATTCTAATTATATAAATTCGGATTAATCCCATAGTGTAGACATACCCTTTAACATCCAACTAGGAAGAGTCATCAAGGGTGAGACAGAGGAGGTCAATACCGGAGGACCAGAGGAGGCAGGCAGGGAAGCAGACAGATAAAATTAAAAAAACAAAACTGTCCAGTTTGAGCAACTGATACAATTCCAGATCATCTACTGATGGAAAATGTTAAAGAAAGTACTGTTTATGTAAGGAGGGTGGGAGGAACACCCTACCTTGCTTAATTATGGGTGACATGCAATGAGTTGTCAAGTAGGACGGGATAGTTAAAATCCCTTTAGGTTTATGTAATCAACATAATTGTTGAATTTCAGCGCAATGAGGTTGTGACAGTTTGGCCTTACCTACACTAAAGCTCTGAATGTTGCTATTTCACTGGTCAAACTGAACTAGTTGTAGCAAGTAGGTACATTTTTCAAGATTTCCTTACTGTGAAGAGTTCTGAATGAACTAGACGACATAAAAAATAACTGCCTCATTGAATCACATTGCAGAAATCCTTCATCATTAAGATATTTTAAAGAGTTGCTTTAAAACTAATTCAAAATCAGTTTGTCCCTTCATGAATGATATGTGGCAGGTGTGTAAAATTTTCATATAAGTTTCATTGTCAGTTTAAAAAGCATAGTCAAAAGAAATAATCTCCTTACTTACAAAACAAATAGCAGATTATATTGTTAAAAGAGAAATAATGGCAAAATTACTGAAAAGTAAATCAGTTTTTTTTAATTCAGCTAAGAATGAATTAAATGATACACACTTTCACTTCTGTCACTAGTCAGTTTCAAGTACACTTCAGTTTTGAGTTCTCATATACTAGCAGAATGCTGCAATGTGTGAGTTTCAAATTTAGCAGGGTATGTTTTTGTTTACCAGGCTGTCTCATCCCCCCAACCACCTCTGTTTCCATTGCTATTAAAATCACATTTCTAGTGCCCTTTTGTTTTGTAAAAGTTTATTTCCAGACAGCCTATATTTTGGGCCATGTTTGCTTTTGTATTATTCCTTATAAGAAAGAGGGCCAATAAAGCTATGTAGCCACTCTTTGCGACAGCTGTGTCTGGTCCAGTTTTAGGTAGTGTTATTGTAAGCCCTGGTGGTCCCGGGATATTAGAGAGAAAAATAATATCTTTTATTGGACCAACTTCTGTTGGTGAACGAGACAAGCTTGAACGGTCCCTTAAAATATGTGTTAATTACTTATGCTAAACAATCGGTTCCATCCTGTACTTAACCGTGACTAGGGTGATCAGAAAGCAAGTGTGAAAAATTGGGAGGGGGGGAGTGAGGGGTAATAGGTGCCTCTACAACACAAAGTTCTGAATATCAAGACTGTCCCTATAAAATCAGGACCTTTGGTCACCCTAGCTATGGCACTGAGTAAGTGTCCCAGAGCTGAAGAAGAGCTCTGTGTAAGATGGAAAACTTGTCTCCCTCACCAACAGAAGCTGGTCCAATAAAAGATATTACCTCACCCACTTTGTCTCTCTAACCCTCCCGTTTTAACCAGTCCAAGTGGAAGAGCTCCCACTGTTTCCCTTGGCTACAGGGGGACTCCGGTACTGTCACAAATTTCTTCCCTGCACTCGCACTAAATTTTACGTGCCTTAAGTTTCATTTTGCTCTCTGTTTCAATGTGACACGAGCCTGAATACATCTGTTCCTTCGCCCCCTCTGGGTGACAAAACAGGAAGGTGAGGAGGAACGGCAAAGCCAGAGCCTCCCCTACCCCGGAGGGAACCGGGCCTGCTTGGAGGCCCCGACACTGGCTGTCAACATCGGAAGAATGCGACAGCAATGTGAGGAATCTGCGGCTGGCGGAGCCTGCGAGCCCAGACACCGTTTTAACCCGACAAACCGCAGGGGCGCCCCGTGCCCACGTGGGTGGTTGGGGGGGCAGGAAGACCCCCGCCCGCCCCACAAGAGGCTGCTGGCACGTCTTTTAAACAAACCCCACCCCAGCCACGCCTGGGCAGAGCGGATCGAAGCCTCCCCCCGGGCTGGTGGGAGCAGGGGACCACCTGACACTGAATCAGGCCGGACGAAGCAGCACCACCAGCTACTGTCCTAGCGGCTGTGCACCAGCAGCCCCTGTTGTTGTTATGTCACTTACTCAGTGCCTGGAGCGGCGCCGCCCCTGGCCCCCTGCTCTCTGGGCGGGTCCGGTGGGAACAGACAGACACCCCCAGCTGCAGCACCGCCCGCCCAGGTCCCCTGCTCCCGCCCCTCCACCTCCGGTGCGCATGCGCACGTCAGCGGGCTCGGCTGGGAGGAAGGTTGTTTCCCGGCACGCCCCGCGCGGCTCCCTGCTCCTCCCCCCTTCGCAGTGGGTGGGTGTGAGATGGATCGGAGACTGTAATGGCGGCCGGCGGCGGCTCGGCGCTGCTCTGACACCCGGATACTGCTCGGCGCAGCCTCCCCCTCCTCTCCGGGCCCGTCCCGACCCCTCCTCCTCCCCCCAGCCAGCGCCGCTTCCCCACGCCCCTGCCCCAGGCCCGCAGCGGGACGACGAGGAGGAGGAGGGCTCCCCGCAGACAATGGACGAGCACCCCGGAGTCGGAGGCGGGATGGCGGCGGCTCCGAGACCGCAGCAGCAGCCGCCGCCGCCGCAGCCAGGGGGGAATATGAATGTGCAGCCTGGCGCGGGCTGCGTGGGGGCCGGAGGGGGGCAGCAGCCTCAGGTCCCGGCGGCTGCGGCGGGTCAGGACGCGGGGGACCGCGCGGAGCTGTCCCGGCCCCAGCACTACACCATCCCGGGGATCCTGCACTACATCCAGCACGAGTGGGCCCGCTTCGAGATGGAGAGGGCGCACTGGGAGGTGGAGCGGGCCGAGCTCCAGGTAGGCTCCACAAGGGGGACCGGCTCCAGCTGCGCGGGGGGCTGGGCTCCAGGGGCGGGGAGCGAGTGGGCCGAGCTCTAGGTGGGGGGGCTGGCCAATGGAGCTTGCCAGTCCCGAGGCCGCCTGCGCGGAACGGTACCTGTCCGAGGTGTGCCCGCTGAGGCGACGTCCCTTGTCGGTGAGGCGGGTGGAGGCGCAGCCCCTCACGGCCCGAGCTGAGCTCCCTTCCCCGGGGCAGCCATTTTAGTTTCTAGTATGGCGTCCGCCTGGGCTCCTGGCTCCGGAGCCAACCGTGCTCTACGGGCCTCCCCCCCTCCCCACTCAGCTTGCCGGTCCCGGTTGAGACGGGGCGATCGGGCGCTGCCTCCCCGCAGGGACATTGGCGCTCCCGGGGAGAGGAAGACGCGCTCTGACAGCTGCAATAACCTTCCCGAACGCAGTGACTCGGGGGCTGCCGGGGCCTGCCCCCGGGGGCCGGCTGTCTCCACAGCTCTGGCTGCGGGTCACCGGGAGTAAGAGCCCCCAGGCCTACAAGAGCTCAGTCCTCCCCCAAACCCCTGGGAGTAAGGTGCTGCGGATCCTACCTCCCCGGAAAGGGGAAGACTCGGGCCAGGGCCTAAGTAAGGGAGCTTCCCAGTGACTGAGGCATGAGATAAATCTGGTCTCCCTAATACTTGGAGACGCTATCAACCAAACAGCTGAGGTCAGTCCGGAGTCGGACTATCACCGCCTTAAAAGGTGTAGTTGTAGGTGTGTGTTTATCATGAGTAAAAAAGAAGATTGAACAAATCTTTCAAAGTGGGTGCATGTATGGTGTTTGATTCTCATTCCAGTAGAGTTTGTTATACATCTTTCCTGTTTTGAGTAACTTAAGTAATAGGTACAGTTTTATTCCTACATACAGATGTAACTAAGTACCCATGTTATCAAATATTCAGAATTAGGTTGTGTGCTATAATTGGGACACTCATATATACATGAAAGGTTTCAGAGTAGCAGCCGTGTTAGTCTGTATCCGCAAAAAGAAGAACAGGAGGACTTGTGGCACCTTAGAGACTAACAAATTTATTAGTCTAAATTTGTTAGTCTCTAAGGTGCCACAAGTCCTCCTGTTCTTCATATATACATGAATACATGTATAGCTGAATAATCAATCATTTTATATACGATACAATTTTGAGGGGGTTAACAAGCACGCAGACCAAGGGGATCCAGTTGATAGAGTGTACTTAGATTTTCAGAAAGCCTTTGACAAGGACCCTCACCAAAGGCTCTTAAGCAGAGTAAGCTGCCACAGGATAAGAGGGAAGGTGCTCTTGTGGATTGGTAACTGGTTAAAAGATAGGAAACAAAGGGTAGGTATAAATGGTCAGCTCTCAGAATGGAGAGAGGTAAATAGTGGTGTCCCCCAGGGGTCTGTTCTAGGACCAGTCCTATTCAACATAGTCATAAAATTTGCAGATGATACAAAATTACTAAAGATAGTTAAGACCCAGGCAGACTGTGAAGAGCTACAAAAAGATCTCTCAAAACTGGATGACTGGGCAACAAAATGGCAGATGGAAATTTAATGTTGATAAATCCAAAGTAATGCCCATTGGAAGCATAATCCCAACTATACATATAAAATGATGGTCTAAATTAGCTGTTATCACTCAAGAAAAAGATCTTGGAGTCATTGTGGATAGTTCTCTGAAAACATCTACTCAATGTGCAGCGGCGGTCAAGAAAGCTAACTGAATGCTGGGCATAATTAAGAAAGAGATGGATAATAGGACAGAAAATATCATGTTGCCTCTATATAAATCCATGGTATGCCCACATCTTGAATACTGTGTGCAGATGTGGTCGCCCCATCTCAAAAAAGATATATTGGAATTGGAAAAGGTTCAGAAAAGGGCAACAAAAATGATTAGGGGTATGGAGTGGCTTCCATATGAGGAGAGATTAATAAGAATGGGACTTTACAGTTTGGAAAAGAGATGGCTATGGGGAGATATGATTGAGGTCTATAAAGTCATGAATGATGTAGAGAAAGTAGATAAGGATGTGTTGTTTACTACTTCTCATAACACAAGAACTAGGAGTCACCAAATGAAATTAATAGGCAGCAGGTTTAAAACAAATAAAAGGAAGTATTTCTTCACACAATGCATAGTCAACCTGTGGAACTCCTTGCCAGAGATGTTGTGAAGGCAAAGACCATAACAGGGTTCAAAAAAGAACTAGATACATTCATGGAGGATAGGTCTATCAATGGCTATTAGCCAGGATGGACAGGAATGGTGTCCCTAGCCTCTGTTTGCCAGAAGCTGGGAATGAATGACAGGGGATGGAGCACTTGATGATTACCTGTTTTGTTCATTCCCTCTGGGGCACCTTGCACTGGCCACTGTCGGAAGAAGGATATTTTCTTTGGTCTGACTGAGTAGGGCCGTTTTTATAATACAGAGAATGGTGTGGCAAACTTGTATAGACCCACAAAAATATATCATACACATCTAATTAAATCCTGTAAACAACAGTGATTGAGTGCATTCACTGTTTTGGAACACAGTACCATAAAGTATTACCATAAAAAACTCACAATACTATAAATCACAACAGAAATTTCCTACGTGTGATTATATAAAGTGTTTAATCGTCAAAAGAGACCAGGGTATCTGAGCTTAGGCAATTTGTCATATCACCAGACTTCTCAGTCCTGATGTAAAGAGAACACCATATATTTTGTACTGTTTTGGTTTGGTTGTATTATTGTCCAATTGAAAAAGTTCCACTATTTACGTCACTTACTGTCATCTTACTGTATTCAGCTTTTGTGACCTAGTTGCTTCTAAAATCAATTTGGAGGCACTGACTTTCATTTTCTGAGGTAAGAATATCTAAGGTCAGTTGCATGGCATTTTCAGTAAAAGGCACTTGCCTATGCATCTGGCTTCCTCTGGTGTTTCATCACTGCTCATATTTATATTTTAATAAAATAGTTGTTTGCAGCACTTAAGCAACTAAAATTGTTTCAAAACATTTGACTTCTGTAAAGGTATATTGTATTACGATAGCTTGACATCACACTGTACTGTAAATATAAAACCGGTCTCAATTCTTTAAAGCTATATCAGACTGAAAATACAGTATTGATGTTGACTTGTGTTTGGTCTCTAGATGTCATGTTGATGAGCACTACAAGAATCTTTGGATATCGTATATATGGGAGCCTATATCCCGTGGCTTAGTATTTTAGATAAAATACTATCTTCGGGTTCGGGCTAATGTCGTAATTCAAGTTGTGAAGCCGTAAGCAGTGAGAACAGTCCTCATTTAGCAACCCTAACACTGCAAACACTTATGCGTGTAAGTGGTCCCATAGAAGCCAATGAGGGTACTCCACATACATAAAACTCAGTAACTCTTTAGAGAATTGAGGTCTGATATGTAGATGTTGAACACTTATTTCAAGAACATGAAATACATGTATATTATAACTAATATGAAACTATATAGCATAAGAATTGGATTTCTTAGATGCAAGTCACTCTTCTGTGTGTGATTTCTTCTTCTTTGCAACATTACAGTACATTTTAAAATATTTTTTGTGTTTTTCGGTTTAGTGGTTCCTTCCCACTTCTCTTAACTTAATATTAGTGATCCTTTGCAAATGGCACTTTATAAAAGTAAATGAAAACCAAATTACTTCATAAGATTGGCACATACTACCTGTGTAGCTGGTTGAATTTACTGTAATTTTGTGTCTTTCTGGGGAATCCAGGAACTGTCTCACAAGCAAAATGAAATTAACATGCTCTTTGTTTCATGTTCTGTTGTATAAATAGAGGCAAAGGGATGATCTTTCCCATCTGCTGAGGGTGTTCTGCAAGTGACAGATAAACGGGACACACAGAGAGGAGACTAACAGGGTTACCCCACTCTTTTTTGTTAATCTAATATGAAGATATAAAACTTCCGGCCCACTTGGTCTGCATGGATATTGGATAAGTGTTCTCTAGATTAAAAGTTTTCATTTAAAAAATTGTTTTCCCTCCTTATATTTCATACAATAACTGTCTGGTGTTTGGTCACAACTCTTTGGAGGTGAAGCAGTGTTGTACTGTCTTAGGCCATGCCTATACTACAAAATTAAGTCAAACTGACTAATGTCGGCATATAGCTGCTGCAGTAATTACATTGCTTGTGTGTGTCTACGCTTTGCTCCTTGTGTTGGCAGAGTGCGATCTGACCAGGAGCATTAGTACTGATTATACTGTCAGCGTGGGGCATTGTGGAATGGCTTCTGAAAGCCAGAGACAGTTGATTATAAGCAATACAGTGTCTACAGTGAGGCTGCATCAATCGAACTACATCAGCGTTGACTGCACCTCTCGTGGAGGTGGAGTTAAGTCGGT